TTTATTCCCATATGATTCTTCGTTTAACTTAACTACAGGTTTTATAATTAACCCATGCAGTAATTTACAGTTTCTTCAGAATCCCAAGCCTTTAATTACAGGATATGGATTGCATAACACACTTGTCTAAAACTTGGCTAGCACGTTTGTGGTAGTGTGTCCGGGAAATATGATCAGTAGGTGGTAACCAGGTAACATAGTAAGCAAACATCCATTAATATTGAAAAGGCTATTTTTTTCTTTTGCCTTATTTTATAAATAACTCAAGGCAGCAAACATATCTAATACTCTTTCCTCCTAAACAATTATTCTGAACAATAACCCTGTGAGATGAGTTGGGCTGAGGGAGAACGACTGGCTTAAAATCACCCAGGTGGCTTTCATATCTAAGGTGAGGACCTGGACTCACAGTCTCCTGATTTCTAACCTGGTGCTTTAACCAATATGCCCTATGACTTGTACACTTGCCTTTTTCTTTTGTACTTGCCATGTGCACAAAGCACATTAAGCCAGGTAGTTGAAAGACATAGTTCTTATGGTATGATTGGCTTAAACCATTAATATACAGCCGCACTTTTTCCTAACCAGTCTCATAGGGCTGTTGCTTTGGTTTGAGGAGGAAGGTGTGTTGGATATGTTTACGGTAGTGTGTCAGGCAAATATGATCAGTAGGTGGCAACCAGATAGCATAGTAAGCAAACATCCATTAATGTTGAGAATGCTATTTTTTTCTTTTGCCTTATTTTATAAATAAATATATTTGTAAAAATAACTCAAGGCAGGATATAAACTGCGGCTTTTACACGCTTCTGATGGGCCGCTCATGCTTGTAGCCGAATGGGAAGAAAAACACCGGACAAATCCTTCTTGTGATGAACTCTGGCTTTTGGCCCCGAGCAATGCCCGGGAGGCTTTTTTATTAGTTCCAAACAAAGAAAAGGTGTTTACAATATTACATCAACAGGCACATGACTAAATAATCCAATGATAAATATACAGCGTGGCAAAAAGCTTCGTCTCTGGGCAAAAGAGGGGGTGCGTGGCAAGGGGGGCTGCTTCTTCCCTGGGCAGGAGAAGTGAGATAAGGAATAGGGAGGGGGGAAAGTGAGCAGCTCCGCATTCCTGCCTTTGAAATGCTAACTGCTAGATAGATGTNTTTTCCAGACAGCCTTAGCTGTCCTATATACAGAAATAGCAATGGATCTCAACATATGACTACCAGTAGTGTTCAAAAGCTACTCAAAATACAGAGCAAACACAACTACTGAAAAGCAACAGAAATTCAGCTCTGGGGTGTTAAGAAATGCTCATGTGCCTGCTGGACCAGTTTGTTCCCTTGAGATCAAGACAGCAGACCTGAAGCAGAGATTTTCTGAAGGCAGAGTTTCCAAGATATAATATTGGTGTTCCAATTAAACAAGTGAGGCAAAGGAGCCTTAATAAGGCAGTGGTAATGGGAGTTGTGAAATAAATAAACTCACAGCTATCTTGACTAAAAAAAGTGAAAACTCCTTGGAGTCAACCTCAATCCTCAATGCCAAGTGACATCATGGGCATATCTATGCAGTTTTCTCGGTAACAATATGGAAGAGGATGATATTGTCTTCTTCTCGGATCCCCCCCCCCCCAAATTTCCATGCTATTTTGTCCTCCCCAGTATTTCCTGGTGATTTCTCATCCATACTGACCAGATCTAATTCTGCTTGTTTTTCAAGATCACAGAATAATGTCTAAGGCTTCCCCTTAACTGGCTGTTATCTTGAGTGGGTGTGTATGTGTCAGAGGTGGTATTCAGCAGGTTCTGACCAGTTCTGGAGAACCAGTAGGGAAAATTTTGAGTAGTTCGGAAAACCAGTAAATACCCCCTGGCCTCGTCCTCATCTATTGTCTCCCAGCTGATCAGATTTTACAGTATCCTTCCCCTGTCACACCCACCAAGCCATACCATGCCCACCAAGCCATGCCCACAAAACCGGTACCAAAAATTTTTGAATCCCACCATGATATGTAAGTGCACCTGTGTGCTTTCAAGTCAAAGTTGATTCCTGGCAACTGCCTGAACTTGTCCCAGCAGTTTTCTTGGCAAGGTTTTTCAGAAGTAATTTGCTCTTGTCCTAAGGCTAGCAAGAGAGAAAGAGAGTGATTTGTTCAAGGTCACCCAGTTGGCTTTATGCCTAGAACTCACCATCTTCTGACTTCTAGCCTGGTGCCTTAACCATTACATCAAACTGTCTCCAAATTTAAATGACCAACTTCTTTATTTCCTCCTTCTGTTCTCTTGCCACAGAATTCTCTGATCGCTGCTTCATTCCCACAATTAAAACACCCATTAAGGAATTAAAAAAATATCTTCATTATTTCTCACCTAAGGAACATCAATCAATCAATTTCAACCATTAGAACCGAACCAGGCGTCATCCAACAACTGCAAAAGTATGTAAATTGACCTTAACTGCGGGCACTTTTTATCCTCCATCAGAGGCAACATTAGCTTGTGTACTTTGCTGTATTGTCAAAATTGTGCAAAGGAGAAGTAAAAATCCAATTTGATTGTGTTGGAAGAAATGTTCTTCTGGGTTCGGCTCCAAGTGGGGAAAAAAGACACTGGAGACATGGAGGCTGCTTGGAAAGATGGTTTATTGGTGGACAGGACCACATGGCTTGAGACCGCACCTGAAAAGG